ACATTGTATGTACATAATTAAGCATCACCCTGCCCACCATGTTGACTTAGTTCCATTGCTGCTGTTTGGCCTGCAACATGCCCCGCCGGCCCGACCCTCTTACAACAGTCTTAGGCCAGGTTTTCAGGTTACAGCCTCCACTGACCTTTTCCATGGCTGTCCATAAGGGGACAACCTCAGAGGGCAAGTCACTGGCCTCACAGTGCCTCCACTTCCTAGTCTGTAATGGTGAGGTGGTCCCTCTGACAAATGACCCAAGCTTGACCTCACCGTCTCATTTAAACCTTCCACCTGCTCAGGTCCAAGCTGCCATCTTCAATCACAACTGAGCAATGACCCCAAAACAAGGCACCACGTGTCACCTTGAGACACTGCTGGCTGTCCACTCCTTGCCACATTTAAGCCTTGTTTTACACATCCTCTGGAACCTGGCTTTACCCTGCGGAGCTTCCACCAAGAGGAAGCAACTCAGCCATTGAGAATTCTCAGTTCACACCACCTGGGCCTGTCGGCAGGTGCCACGCCCCTTACACCGTGTTCCTGCTAGAGTCTCACCTTGGTGCTGGGGACACGGGTCTTCCCCATCCACAGGACCCCACCCCACCTGCTGCTCTCTCTCCATCTTCTACCCTCCACCCTTGGGAACCCCTGGTGGCCGTGGATCCTCGTGAGGCCCCCCTTCCCCTGCCCAGCCCTTGCTGTTCAGTCCCTGCCTTGACCCTAGAGTGAGAACTCTGTTTCTAGGCTTTATCTCATGCCTCAAAACACAAAGATATGACTGGAAAACTGGACCTAGCCTCTTCCCAATGTCTCTACACTTTGCCACTACCGATCAGTGAACAGTCCCCTCACGCTGCTGTGTGTCACGGTTCACCTGTGTGTGAGCACCTCTGGATGATATTCTACACCAGGGGTTCTCAGCCATGACTTGGGCTAGAAAGTTCTTTGGGGATTGGAGTCCTGGAACACCTGGTGGTGGTTTAGGTGTGAACTGCTCCCCTTGGGGTCATGTGATTGGACCCTTGGCCCCCAGGTGGTGATGTTGTTTCTGGAGGGTTGGAGAACACTCGAATGGTGACACCAGCCCCTACTTCCTAACTGTTCTTACATCCTGACTGCAGACACAATGTGACAAGTCACCTTGTGGTCTTATAAATGGGTGTAGTCACCTCACGGTCTTGTCAGCTTGATGGGCGGTGCCCTCAAACCAGAGCCACAGATACATCTTTCCGTCTTTATGTTGCCAGATATTTGGTCCCCTCTGTGACAAGCAAAATGTCCTCTGGAGGACAAAAGTGCTCTCTATCGTAAACTAATGGCTCAGATGAAACCTTCAATTGGGGCAAAGGTAGCAAACATCTGTTTAATCAAGTTGTGTGGAAGTTGTACACCTGACCGCTGTCTCAGAAGGAGGTGGCATCTGGGATCCCAACTGAAAGTGCAGCCTTGGCGCTCAGGTAGCCTGGGTCCCAACGCTGCTTTGCCCCTCAGGAGTTGGGATGTTAGAGACCCTGGCAGTCACTCAACTTCTCTGTGTTTGTCTCTTGTCTGTCACACAGAGGAAAGCACTCCTGGCCCTAATTGTGCTGAGCAAATGAGTTCAATACAGCAAGCATTACACTCCCTGGAGACAGCCTTGTTCTGAGTCCTGGTTGCATGCCGTGGGTCCTCATTAATAACTGAATTTCTATGCATGTGGAGAAAGCCTGTGTTGACATTTTCCAGTTGAGCAAACAGTATTTCAGGAAACGCCAGTCTTTTCCAGGCCAGTTCATGTGTTGGCTCGTGAAAGATGGGCTCCTATTTCCCTCCCTCTAGCAGCCAATTCCCAGGAACACCGCTAAAGCCTACCCACCCCCTCACCTGTGGTTTTAACCGTGGTTGTTGACCCCATCATGGAAGATGGCTTTGGTTGTCCTTGCAATACACCCTAACAGAAATCACCATGTTAATATGTTCTCTTGCTTATGACTTTGCTCTGCACTGGGCGTGCAGAGAGCTTGCCTGATACTGTCTCCTCCCAAAGGTTAGAGCCTGGTGCACGGCTGATTCTCAATGATTTTGTTTAAAGAATGAACAAGCCTACCCTTCCAAAACTTGTCTCCAGATGGTCAAGAAGGGGCTTTGCTGACAAGTGTGCTCTGCAGCTGGGTGTCCTCTGCCTGTCTCCGCTCCTGCCCGCCAAGGCCTACCTACCAGCCCTGCAGGGTGCCCAAGGACTCTGCAACAGCCTCCACGTTTCTTGCAGGCTGGGTGCTCTGCCTGCGCTGGGTCCCCTGGGCTTTCTCAGATGCCAATTCCTCGGTAACTCATTTGTCTTCACCCAAGAGTTTCCACGCCATCAATCCTGCTCCATGAGCAACTCTTCTAGAACCTTCTCTATGACATCTGTGAACTGGAACATTCTGAAAGGGGAAGGAATCCATCACCGTCGACACAGGGTTAGCTTTTTGCCAGTGCTGCCTGACGTGGGTCTCAGGAGACTTGGAGCAGGGCGCTGGCAGGGCCAGGCTCCTTCTGGGGACAGTAAAGGCGGTGTCATGAGAATATAGTTCTTACACGTTGAAGGTTGTCAGCTGAAGGCAACCCTGACTGCTGAGGGCTGCCTGCACTTCTCACTCTGTTTGGTCATCAAAAGCCATCAAGGGTGAGTTCATATGCCCTCACGATGTGACCTTAGGCTGTCTTCATTCTGCAGGTCACCTCCTTCGGCCCTCTCTTCCATTGTTCTGAGAACTTTGTCACTAGTCACCCAGACTTCAGGGAAATACCCTCATTTTGAGGCCCTTGGCCTTAGTCATGTCTGAACTCCCCTTTGCCAGTAACACATTCTGATATCCCAAGACTTACGACAGGAACACGTTTGCCAGGACAATACTCTGACAACCATGGCATTCCCATAGGTGGGACAGGACAGAAGAGCCCTTAGCTTGTCTGCTCACAAGGCCCAGGATCAAGGAGGCTCTCTTGGGACCTAGGCAACCTAATCCAAGACATGAAAAAGTACTTGGGTTATTGTTAGGTTTCAGAAGATAAATGAGCTTAAGATGAGAGAGGGAAGGTTGATCCCTTGGAAACGTGGAAGTGGTTCTGGCTGGCTCAGTTAAAACTGGTAATTGCACAATTGGCTTAAGATGAGAAAGTGAAGCCAAACCAGCCAGCAGCACTTCTGCTTAGACTCGCAGCACATCGGGGACTCTCAGCTTTGGACTTTCCGACCACAGTGCTGTGTGAGTGTGTGTGCACACGTGTGTGTGTGTGTGTGTGTGTGTGTGTGTGTGTGTGTGTGTGTGTGCACACTCGTGTGTGTGCATTTGCATGTACATGCGTGTGTGCTATATACTACACTGTGTCTCACTTGGAGTTTCTATTGCTTTAAAGTGGAGCAACGACTTATAAACAGGCAAAGCAATGTCTCCTGACCCTCCCTTCTGAGCTGTCAAGATGTTTAAAACTTACTCTACATTTATTCCTTCAGCAAAATACTTTTTGGTAAATTATATTTTCCAAGTTTCTCAAAGTACATAACTTCCTTTTATTGCCTCCTGAAGCTAGTGACCAACCTGTGTCTGGTGTGGATCGTCACCTGCCTGAGCCTTACGCTCAGCTCAGCTGGCACATCAGCACTGAGGGGATGCCTGTCTGCCATTAACCCCACAGCCAAGGTGAAGGGACATCCACAGCTGCTCACACCAGAGAGCGTCATGCAATTTGATGAACTTCCAAATAGCTTTTGAGGATCATCCTGAGTTAGCACACCCCTAAAGCCTCTAGTCAGGAGACCGTGTCTCTTCAGGAGAGATAAGAGTGTTCTAATCTCCTGGCTTCTAGAGCCTCTGCCTCCCATACACCCTGTTGCTGTTTGTACAGACTTCTTATTCATCTGTGGAAATGCCTACTTGGGTGAGGACAGAGAGGACACTGGGGCATCCTGGAAAGCATGTCCCAGGCTGCCGTCATTGCTGCTCGTTGAGGGCAGGGACTGGCAGACCCAGCACAGGAGCTAAATACAGCCAGCTGTTATTGAACAGTTCTTCTGGAATGA